AAAACAATTAGCAACGGGGTTAACCTTAGTCATCTATACCATCGCCACTCCACCTCAGTCCTTTAACATCAAGAGAGAGAGAGAGAGAGAGAGAGAGAGAGAGAGAGAGAGAGAGAGAGAGAGAGAGCTTTAACGTTTTCACGAACGAGATCCTGCTTTACACACGGTGCTGCATCTTACTCTTTTATGTAATAGGGTATCTAGTAGCTCTTCCCATGTTGGCACAGATTGAGCCCAATAGCTGTAGTGGTTTGAGATTATAGTGCATGGCTCTAAGACTACAGGAGTGTGTGTGTGTGTGTGTGTGTGTGTGTGTGTGTGTGTGTACATGTCTGTGTATCTATGTGTAAGGATTCCTTCCCACTTTTCTCTCCTGCCACATTTCCTTGATGTTTTACTTTGAGGCCAAGAGGGCTGCATATGCCAGTGACACTGGTCACCAGTGAGCCACAGAGCCTTCAGAAAGGCACTGGTTAGTATAAATAACCAGTAGAAAAAAATTATATAAAACATTTTTCCAAAGAGCTTACCTTAGACAGTTAAAGATTCATTTCCCCCATGTGGTTCCTTCCCAAGTTGAGTCTTAAAGAAATCACAGTGTTTTAGAGAAACAAGTTTCCAGCAACATAAAATCAAGAGTTCATTTTACGTCACATCTGGAGGTTTCAGAATTCATGGCTTCAGAAGTTATCCCAAGTGCTGAGATGCCAAAACAGAAATCTGCAGTATGTGTAGTAGAAATCCACAAATCCAACCAAAGGCTTTCACAGGGGCTAGGCTGGTATGATTGGAACTTCCCTTCAAAGACAATCTATAGTTGTTCCCAGCTATAGCAGCGAGAGTCACACTACAGGAGAAAGTCACCCCTTTGCTCAGAATCCTTTCACTGAGCCTGACTTGTGAGGTTTGTCCTATGGAGATGGCAGGTGAGAGTTTGTTTTCTTTGTTGCTATGGAAATAGAACAATAGCAGCCCATTGGTTCAAAGCACTCAGTTCCTAACATCAGAAGGTTGGAGAAGCAGGCAGTTAAGTTCTCCCAGACTCAAATCAGTGTCCACCTTCTCAACATCAAGGAATTCATGCAAGATTTATATTTCATCATCAGACATGAGACTCTGCTTTCCAGAGCAAGAGAATTAAACTGCATTCCTAAGCTTAAGTGAGTGACATAATGGTAATATTTGCCAGGAATTTGTAACTGATTCTAACTTCCTCTGTCATTTGCTCACAGAAACCAAGAACTCTGCAGCAGGCACTTCCTTCCTTGAACTTAAGCCTTTGAAAGCCGTGAAAGCGCACCAAGGGCAGTTGTTTCCTTCCAACAACCAGTGGTTTCAGATTTTTTTTTCCCCTAAACAAAGCTGATCTTGCCAAATAAAGCAAAAACAAGACAAAGGCAAACTAAAAAGTATTTGCCTATTTTTACTTTACTGCAACTCATTATAAGATATACATTTCATAATAAAGCTACATGAAAACAATACACTATTACTTGCTATTGTATCTTCCTTTTCGAAATGAAAGCTGATTCTAAATCACTAGATTGGTTGGCTGGTCCCTGATGAGTCACAACCCACAGTTTACAAAAGGCTGCTATGAGTTTAACACATCTCTTCAATTGCCTATGTTCTGCATTCCAGGTTCTGTGGTTAGGCACAGGATGGGGAGCAGGGGCAGTAGTTCAGTTCTTGAGCTCAACGGAGCTGAAAGCTAATAGGAAAATCAGTTCGATAAAAACACAATGAATCTTACTTTATCTCCCAATGCAGTGAGAGTTTACAGCAAGAATTGCTCTGCTATCCTCATGAGTTAAGAATTTTAACCAGAGTAGGGATATGACCAGATCTACACATGAGAAAGTTATCATTGTGACTGCAAGGTAGAGAAACAGATGGAAAGCCATAACAAGAGGTAGAGAGACTGTGCAGGAGTGCCTCAGAGGTCAGATGAGCCCTAGAAGTGTTCCCCAAGTACAACAGTGAGGATGACCTTTTGGTCATCTTTTGACACAGTAGGCGTGGTCATGACTGGGATGTCAGAGGGGAGGGAGAAGAGAGGCATGAGGATTCCTGGCCTTCTAGTTCCAGTGACTGAGTTGGTGGCAGTGCCATTCACTCATAGGAAGGTGTAGGGGATAGACAGGCTCAGGAAGTGACAATGCATTCAGATTTGGGCATATCGGGGTGCCAGGGGGACACCCAAGTGGTGGTGTCTGCTGGAGAATTCGTTACAGGCTTCATAAGTTCAAAGAAGAGTCTGGGCTAGAAATAGATTTAGTGTTAAAATGAGGAAGAGGGTGAACACATAGGGAATAGTATCTTTAAGATGATGGCCTGGGGATGGAGAGATGGCTCAACAGTTAAGAGCACTGACTGCTCCTGCAGAGGACCTGGGTTCTGTTCCCAGAACAGAACCGAGGTAGCTAACAACTGTCTGTAGTTCCAGGGGATCCGATGCCCTCTTCTGACCTCCATGGGCATTGCACAACATGGATGCACTTACACACATGCAGGCAATACACTCATACACAAGAAACAAAAATAATAAATCAAATACTAAAAAAAAGAAGATGGCCTCGGACCTAGCCTTAAGCAACAACAGTAGTAACAACAACTACTTCTCAAATTGGGGTCATACAAACACATTCAGTTGTTAGTTAAGTTAAAGGGATTGATCAGTTTCAGGCAATTGGAAGGCTGGAGGCAGTGCAGTAAGTCAGTTGGAGGTCCAGCTCTGTCCCTAGAGAACTAGGCTCCACTCTGCTAGCCTCTGTAAGTCGACTGAGGGAAACCTCAAGATTGTGGCTGCCACAGTTCCAAGGGCCATACACAGACAAGCTGGAGACAGTCAAAACTTCAAAGGAGGGAAGAAATTAAAAAGAAGAACACTGATATACTCAACTAGCTATCTAGTCAAATCCATCTCCATTTGCATTATGCTATTCACTCTGAGTCTGTTTATCATTTAATTTTACATTTAAACCATTTCTTATGATTTATACAAAGAAGAATTTGGGTTTTGAATGAACAGTAGCCGAAAACAAAGGTACAAGGAAAGCAGAGGCTGAGGAAAATTAGTCACTTGGCCAAGGCTTAGCTATGATTACCATTTTTTATCTTGTGTTGGGATAGTGAGGCCCTGTGTATGCTAGGTGAGCTCTCTATTACTAAGCTACACATCCAGATTTTTACCACTGTTTGGGGATTTTCCCCCCAACACATCTACAACATTGACAACTCCAAAACAGAAGAGGGGAAAGATATGCAGGCTTTTAGGGTTAACAATGTTCTCAGTACCTCCCCTCAAGGCATGGAGAGGGGCCAGAATGCCACCAGTGTAACAGAGTACAAGAAATGAAACTGACTCAACAATCCGGACAGCTTCTTTGCTATCAGAATCAGTCTACACACGGGTGGGGGGGGGGGGAGGGACAACATCCCGTGTGACATTGCCGCCCTCATGAGGTGGCAAATGTAATCAGCCGTGAGCAGCCAGAGGCTTTCCATTTGCTGTCCCCCAGCCCCCACCCCTCAGCAAGACTGTTCTCTTAGGGAGCTTGGCAGTTATCTCCAATGTGCTCAGTCTTCTTCGTCCATTTCTTGACTTTACAGTTCTAACGTTAGATTGCTCACACTTAATTTCTTAGAAATAATTTTTAAATAGCTATGAGTGTGAACTACAGGAAATTACTTCACTTTCCAAACTTCCCCACATTTATTATCTGCTTAGCAATGATTTTTATTTTTGTTGCTTTTTTATTTTAAAAAGTGGTAGAGCGCTTGCCTAGCAAGTGCAAGGACCTGGGTTCGGTCCTCAGCTCCAAAAAAAAAAAATATTTTATGTGTAAAATGCCTACATGAAGGTAGGTGCACCCATGCTGTGCAATGCCTGCGGAGGTCAGGAGAGGGTGTCTGATCCCCTGGAACTGGAGTTACGGACAGTTGTTAGCCATCATGTGGGTGCTGGGAATCAAACCCAGGTCCTCTGCAAGAGCAGCCAGTGCTTTTACTTCTGAGCCATCTCTCCAGCCTCTGCTATTATTTTGTTAAGGAGATATTATAATAGCTATATACACTGTCTTAGTTTTAAAAAATATCTAAGAGGGAGGCTGGAGAGAAGGCTCAGTGCCTCCTGCTCTTCCAGAGGACTCAAGTTCTGTTCACAGCACCCATGTGGGGAACTTCACAACCACCTCTAGTAACTCCAGGTCCAGAGGATCTGATGCTTTCTTCTCTCTTCTGCCCTACACAGGTACCCAGATAATCACACACACACACACCAAACAAAAAATCTTTTTTCAAAAATATCTGAGGGCCAGCAAGATGGCTCAGTAGGTAAAAGCACTTGCCACCAAGTGGGACAACCTGAGTTCAATCCTCAGAACCCTCGTGGTGGAGAGAACTGACTCCTGCAAGCTGTCCTCTGATCTCCTCTCCAATAACAATTTTTAAGTAAAAAAAAATTGTGAACTATACCAAGCTCTGTTTACTCTTTGTGACTATTAGTGATCTATTTTTTTGTGTTAGTTTGACAAATAGAGGTTGTTTTCTAATCCAAAACAGCATAAAGACTTCAAGCAGGCTTATCTGTGTAGTGCTGAAACAAAATCACAGGGAGACACAGGGAAATTTAAGCTACTGTGTTTATTATCTAATTTACATTTGACAAAGCATAGGAAGGTGCACAAAGAGCTGTTTGACAAAGTTGAGCTCCAGACTTCACACAATGGAACTTCCTAAGCTGCAGAGGGACCTATGCCATGCCTGGGCTAGCTCTGCAGTGGGCCTAGTTATAGCACTGCTTTCTGCTTCGTGCTTGTGGACCACAGATCCCTGTGCATCGGACAGCAGAGAAGGCCGCTAGACACTGACAGCCCCATTCCAGATGTCCGAAGTTGATGTTAAAACCACCTACTACTGTGTGCTAGAAGCTCTGAATACTGTGTAAAATATGCCTTCTTCAGAGAACTGGCTCTCGTGACCCACCTGTTAACTTCCTTGCCAAAGTCTGATCATTTGTCAGATCAGGGGCAAGTATAAAACTAAAAAACAAAAGCTACCTAACGGAGGTCATTAACTTCTCTCTAAAGATTCAAACCTAAGGCTATTTACATAAGTTTAGGATCTTCATAATTCAGGATAATTTTAATTCTGAGCTCAAGAAGATTCTCCTACTAGATAACAGGATATTCAGAAATACCTGAGAAATAATCGCAAAAATCTTGATAAAGTAGGAAAAAAATTGTGCTTTCCCATGCAAGCATAAAAGTACATACCCAACTGATACCGTAAAAGAAACAACATGGACGGTAGTGAAGCTTAAGAGAAACTGCAGATGAAGTTGCTGCAAGACTCCAGTTCTTACTGTATTTTGCAGACAGTTTGATAAAACAGATTCTCAGGCTGTACCAAAAATAATTTTAGGTGAAAACTTCAAAACCAGCAAACCCCAGTTTTTAAGACAGGATTCATTTGTAAAGACAAGCATGCACCAGGACACAATTACTGTGTTGCCAACAAACATCAAAATGAACTTGATTTTTAAAAACCCAAGTCTGGTTTCTTTAACCAGATGTGCTTATCTGACTGCTAACACACACTTACCTCCAGGCATCATGGAGGCATCGACTATGAAGTACAGAAGTGATACTCCACACAGAACACCATAAAACCCAGCAATTTAAGAGCGATTTATATAACACATAAACCTGTTCATTTAGCAGGCATTACTACTTCCTTGACTCTGTATCTTCCTACTTCTTGAAGTTTCCTGGAAACTGTAAATGTCCAAGTAACAGGGAGATTACTTTCTTTGAGAATGAAAAGCTTCAAGTTCGCTAAGGAGTTACTCCAGAGCTGATTATAAAATGTAAATTCAAATGCTTTTTTTTAATTTAAACATCAGGAATTCTTGTTTTGATGCCTGTTTCATGTAGGGTTGCTTCATATGTGTGTATGCTCTGTGGACAGCAGCATGATTGGGCAAAGGGTGAGAGGCTGAGAATGCAGCTCTAGCCTTTGTTTTTGAAAAAAAAATGTATTTAGAAAAGTTTTATTAAAAAGATTCTAGAAAGTATAGAAAAGCTATATATTCTTACCATTGCATGGATGTTGATTTCTCTAACCTTTTGGGCACATATCTCTTTCTTCTAGGGGACGTGGGTCAAGAGAAAGGAAGGAACTCTCAGGCAGAAATTAATAATTCTTCTCAGGACAAAGAGGCAAAATATTTGCAAATTAAGCACCAAAATGACCAAGCAATATACTTCCTATTTCCATAAACAAAATGGGTAGTCCCCTCCTCATCCTTTCCCCATCCTGCCTTCCATGTACGGCATTTCTTCCTCAACAGCCCTGTGTAGACAAAGCCATCTGATGAGACAGACCTGACCCATCACCTCAGAAGCAGAGCTGTTTCAGCCCAGTTCACAGTCTGCGTCACACTGCTGAACGCCGAAACCTAATCTTAGGGTCTCATTTGTCATTTCAGCTTGAAAAAAAGAATCCCACAGGAAAAGAAGTCTCAACTCCCCCATGAAGAAGTTCTCTAATTCTACAGAAGCTAAGAACTGGGCAGATGTTTTAATTTACAAGAGGAAAACAACAAAATTCAAACAAAAACACTTTCAAAGCAAGCACCTGGGTTTTACTTCAGTCATAATTTAATGTGCCTGAGAATTTTTGTGCAAATACATGTCATCTTTCATTAAAATATGCATAGCACACTTTGGAAAAAGTTAGCTGCAACTAACTTTTCTTAAAAATTTACATATATAAATATACAACATAATCTAATTCCTATTGATTGCACTTCTAGTTTCACCCCTTCCGGCCTCCAAGGAAATTTGAGAAACATGCAATTTTGTTTGTATTCCTTGGCCACTGTATTATCCAGAAGAAATACTCTAAAAACTTTCCTTGATCCAACTTATCCCTATTTTCTTTTTTAAATCCCTCTCAATCTTGCTCATATTGTTATTTAAAATTTTTTGTTATGTTGTACAAAAATACAAATTTAAAAAATGAAGCTTTAGTAATCATAAATACAAAGGAAAGTGGGTGGTGTTTGGGCTCCCAGTGCCTCAATGGCCTGAAAACAGAAAGTCTCCACTTCTGATGTAATGAAAAGATAGTTTCTTGTTTTGCTAATGCTGTGAGCACACCATAGGACGGATGCATAATTTGACCAGGTATTAGCAGGGACTCAAATGAGCAGTCTCAGTACCAGCTCACTGTACCAACCCTTTGAAACAGCAACAGCGGTGCTGCTCCTTCGCTTCCCAGCCTTCCAGGCAGGCTCTTCCTACTGTGCTCACTAGAGATCAAGGTGTCAGAGGTTCAGCATCTCTGGCAGGATTCAATAGGACTGAATTTACTTATCTTTCTGTTCACTTTATTTTCAAGGCAAGAAAACTTAGCTGAAGCCTTCTTTCCCTTTCTGCCTCCAAACTATTCATGACCTTCTTCATTTACACTGTTTCTTAGACTCCATCCTGGAGGAACTAATCTCAAATGTTTCCATTCCTCCGCCACACCCTCTCCACATTCACAACCCTTCTGCAACGTTCCTTTTCTCTCAAGTTAGGCCATTTCCCAGGTTCCCATTTATCAGTGCATATCTATCCTTCATATGCTAACTTAAACAAGAGGTCAGTTAATGCTGAGCCTCAGTTTTCCTTCAGGATACCCATTTTGGGTGAGGATGTGCAAGCTGGGGCACCAAAGCTACCCATGAGGACTGGAAGACTCTGATTCCTCCTCAGTCCGCTCAGTAAAGTGCCACCTGAATTTAAATAGACAGCAGAGTCTGATTTTTGAAAACCCATTTCTGCCTCTTGGCTTTTTCCATTCTCCTGGGTGTCAGGGTTCTTGACCACTCTGGCTAGCCCCAGTCTCTTCAGCCTGTCTACTAAGTTCATCTTCAACTGGCTAATATCAGGAGGGTTCCGGGAGGGTCTCAAGCCATACATTTCTTGGAGGAATGTTTCAGCTGGTCGGGAAGCCAAAAAATTCTCAGAGACATGTACTCGGGACTCAAATGGCAAGGGAGAAGGGCACGGTGACTGTGATGGGGAGTTTGGTGGTGTGGAAGGGGTAGCCAGGGCCTTGGGGAGAGGCTGCAGCAGGGGGTTCTCTGAACTAGGGCTATGGTACACTTTAGCAGAGATGCCTCGCTCCTGCAAAAGCTTGGCCAAGCTCCTGGTGCTACTGAAGGTTGTGGTAGAATCTCGTCGGTTTGTGATGGATTCACCAATGCTGAGTCTGTAGGACATGGCAGGAGAATTCACAGCTGTGTTTGATGAGCTGCTCCCACTACTTCCACAGGACAGTGAAGGGAACACAGAGCTTTAAGAAAAAAGGGAGTGTTTAAGAATCAAGAACACCAAGCTGGTGTTTAATTTTTATTAATAGCTCCATTCCACACAGCAAAATATATGAAGAAGCAAAACCATCAATAATCCATGGGTAAGCAACTGCTCCAACTTTCAGAAAATGTAATCTTTCATTTGCATGACAATGACCAATGAAACATGAGCTCTTAAGGACAGTTTTCAGAATCTTATTTCACTGGAAAACAATAAATCTTTAATTATTAAATTTCCATTTTCTCAAGAAATCTTAATCCTAAACAATAGTAATATATGAATATCCATGAAATCAACTTGTCCACCTTGATTTGGAGCAACCTTGATTTGTATTTTTAGGAAATGAAAAGCTCTGACAGCCATGAGATCTGTTGCTTATCCTATGCTTCATTAAGAAGAAAAGCTAAAGAAGAAATCATGCACATAGGGAAAGGGTGGTGGAATAAAGAGGGGTCTCTAGCCAGCCTTCCTCCCTGAACATATGCTGCCAGAATTTAACAAGGTTTCACATCAGTACAAAATGATCAAGCACATTACAATATCAAGAGTTTTCAAGATTATGAACAAAAGGCAAGTATATGATTAATATATAAATTTTCTAGAGCATCAATTTATATAAAGAAAGTATCAACATTTATACAAGTCTGACTTATTGGTCAAACCAATTCAAATAAGAACTGATCTGGTACAGTCTGGTCTGTATGTCCGGCCTCTAAAACCCCTATTCCCACTTCACTGTATGATTTTCTGTTCTTCTAACTAAACAGTCCCTTTAAGAATCAATTTTTTTTTTTTTTTTGAGACAGGGTCTCTTTGTAGGCCCAGCTGGCCTGAACTCACAGAGATCTACCTGCCTCTTCCTCCCGAGTGCTGGGATTAAAGGTATGTGCCACCATGCTTGGCTTAAGAATCAAGTACTTCAGAGGCAGAGGCAGAGGCAGAGGCAGGTGAACCTCTGTGAGTGTCCTCTTTTTTTTTTTTTTTTTTTTTTTTAAAAAAAAAAAAAAAAAAAAAAAAAAAAAAAAAAAAAAGAGAATGGATTTTATAAAACTTAACTTGGCATCTAAAGAATAACGTAGAAAACCTGCAAATATGTTCATCAAAGTCTTTACTTAGCTCTTGACTGGATTTCATCTAAATGCTTCCCAAACAGTGATCTACTTTTATCTTACACACTTGAATCATTATTTTATTCCCTCCACACTTGTAGCTAGAAAGCGAGACTCTAATGCAGTGATCACTGTGGCAAGTACACAAGCCTTTTTGGTAGGATTCATGACTGGGTCTTTTCCTCTACCCACAGCATACCCTAACTCCTGTTCCCCTTCAGATCATCTTTGTTTTCTATTTCTGATTACTACAACAACCAATGTATCTCTGAATATTGAGTTAGATTCTTTTGGGACTCAGCAGTCTAGGAACAGCCTCAATATAGTTTTTTTTTTTTTTTTTTTTCCTTCAGTCTTTTTGAGACAGGGTCTCCCTGTAGCCCCAGCTGTCCTGGAACTCACTATGTAGACCAGATTGGCTGTAGACTCACAGAGGTCCACCTGCCTCTGCCTCCCGAGTGCTGGGATCAAAGGCATGCGTCACCACTCCCGGCCCAAGTCTACATAGCAAAATTTGGCATTGGACAGAGAGGTCTGGCCTTTGTCTTCAGCTTCTGGGAGGCAAATGATGTAGTAGCTGACAGAACTATCTTTGGTCAGAGTTGTGTGAGCTAGACAGTCTTAGGGTGAGGGCTGGTCATGCCAGAAAGAGTAACAAAGTGCTTAGGGTGGGGGTTTGGGTCATGTAGCATTAGCTGATGTGGAGACTGGAGCTCTACCCTGAGGGTGACCAACCAGTTATGCCTACACAACCTACACAATGAAGCCCTGGTAAAAACTTTGGATACTGACGCCTGGGTGAATTTTTCTGGTTGTCAATACTCCATGTGCACTGTCACAAACTGATAAGAGTAATAAATCCTAAGAACAAGACAAGTGTCATGTAGAGAGTCCCAGTACCTTCATCTAAAGCATTTGTTTGGATCTTTAACCTATATCTCTTTCCTTGTAATAAACATCAGTCACAGGTATACAGGTATACCAACTTTCTGTGAGTCTTTCTAGTAAGGTATTAAAATTGAAAGAGTTTTGGGAACTGTTTGAACATATAGGTAGTGTCAGAAATGCAGGTGTTGTGTTGAGGGTGGATCCTAAGCTTTGCTGCCTTTCTAACTTTGGGTACAAACAGCCTCTGTTGGGTCATTTATTAGCTGCTCTTGGATCAGTTACTTCAACTTTTTATGCCTCAATTTCTTCATTTCACTCAGTATAAACTCACTTACTCTGTCTATTACAAAGAGTTAATATGATCAAATGAGAAAATACAATGTCAAAATATTCTAAAGTCAAATAGTCACAGAACACTATCAAAATTCTGGAAATTAAAAATGAAGGTAACTTAAAAAGGAAATGTGTTGGGGCCCCAGACTTCCCAGGCCCTCTTACCTAGGGGTAACCTGAGTGATGTCGGAAGGATGTAAGATCCTACAGGTGGTGAAGGTGAATGTTGAGTTCGTGCATGACAGACACTTTCCTGGGTTTGAGGTTGCAACTGAAATAGAGATTTTTAGGAAGCCAAACACAGAATTGAAAGACCAGGTTAATAAAAATAAAAGAAAAACAGACTCTGAAAAACACATTAAAAAAAAAAAATCAAGAACTAGTCACCCCAAGTACCTAGCCAAACTACTCCTCTGGCTTTAAAGTAGCATGTGCCAATGACTTTCAGAGTAATGATACAACAGGGCCTTTTCTTTTTGATGAGGTTGACATTTGCATGTTATAAAAAGCAAAGGTGGGTAACAAATGTGGCTCCTTAGCATAAATCAAGGCAACATCACCAAATTATAATCTTCTTTGTTCCATATTCACAGTATTAAAAAAAGCCAGATTTACTGAAGCTCCTTGACAAAGTATTAAAATTATCCATTAAATCTTGAATCTTTTTACTATGCTGGGCATGGAAACAGGAAGTGTCCACTAAGTACTCCTTCTGTCTACAATGCAGCAGATACAACAGTGGTTATCTAGAGAAAAGCATTTGTGTAGTTATGTTGAAACTGTATCAGGGAACACCATTTACTCAAAGAACAACTAGCATACAGGCTATAATTATTCAGACTTGGGAATCTGGCAGACATTGCCTTGACAAACAGCAATGAAGTTAAGTCCTTTTTTTCAAGAAAAACAGCTGCCAATACTTTTTGCCAGTGAAAATGTGAGCTTTCAATGTGAAAAATCAGTTTCTGAAAACTTGTATTCACTACTGAGAGGCCGAAAATTTCTTAATGCCTAAAGCCTTTTATGTTGAGGTAGGAGGTGATAGTGATATTAATAAATTAGCTAATGAAATACCCCAACATTTGGAATATCTGCATAACTTAGTGAGTCAGTACTGCCTTAATGACCAAGACATATTACCAAACCACGCATGAGTGAAAGGTACATTTAAAGTGTAGGACAGACAAATACACTTTAATGTACAAAGTGTGAAAATTCATTGATGGAGTTTCAGATTCCACATCGCTATAAATAAATATTCAAGAAACTACCATTTACTGAGTTTTGGTCTAATATATAAAAAAAATGCATGACACTTGAAAAGGCTATTAAAATATTCTTTTCTTTCTCAACTACATACTTGTGTGAGGTACATTTTCTTCATATTGTTCAACTAAAACACTATTGTGCAACAGACTGAATGCACAGTTTCATAATGAGAGTCCAGCTATCTTCTATTAAGTCAGAACTTAGAGACTTTCAAAATTATAAAACAAAACCATTTTTTACTACTTAAACAATAGTTATTTTCCAGAAAATATAACATTTGTATAACTTTCATTTTAAATGAGTTAATATTTTATAATTTCTCAGTTTTTATTTCTAATATAATAAATATCAATAGGTATAATCCATACAGAAAAGCCCTTTGGAATTCTAAAGGATTTTTAAGAGTATCAAGGAATCCTGAGACCAAAAGGCTTGCAAACCACTGACTGAATTGGTCTATCTCTCTGTCCAATCTACTTATGAAGGCTGGTAGATTAAAGTGGACAGAATTAGAAATGTAGTCATGCTATGGACTTTTATTATCTTCCTTCCAATAATGGGTATACCCTTGTGAAATTTGGGCAGAGGCAGCCAGCTCACCATACAGTAAGACAGAATACAAAGTCCTGGCTACAAGGTCACGTTCAACCAAGCACTCTTCTCACCTGCAGCTGGCCCACCTGCTGAAGTAATGGGTGGGAGGAAGATCCCTGTCACCGGTATGGACACTGCAGGCTTCTGCTCCACTTGAAGAGGCTGCTGAACCTGAAAAGTGATTCCCTCTTCTTCATCCTCCTCTAAATCTGAGATGTGATAGACAACATCGTTGGGCATCTGGGTAAAGCCTTTAGTAATGACGCCTGGTCTTGGATCAAGAATGGTTCCCAAGTTTGGTTGAGCAAGCTGCTGCCAATGATGGAGAGTTTGTGATCCTGAACATACAAGTAAAAGAGGTGTGTATCATATTCCTATGAATCATAAATATTAAAACAGAAGAAAGAATGATGAGAGTAATAGCAAGAATGAGGGAGATATAATACTACTTGCTTTTGACATTGTGTTAAAATTTGCAAATACATTAATTTTATGTGTACGAATATATTGTCTGCATGTGTGCAAGTGCACTTGTGTCATGCTATGCCCAAAGAGGTCAGAAGGCATCAGATCCCCTGGAACTGGTACAGGCAGTTGTTAGCTGCCATGTGGGTGCTAGGAACCAAACCTGGGTCCTCTGCAAGAGCAGTCAGTGCTCTTAACTGCTGAGTCATCTCTAGTCCCTAAATTTGCAAATTTAAGTTCTTTGTGGAAGACTTGACATGATGTTGAAGGTATGAAAAATAATCTATTTCCAAAAGTAATCTTTAGAAAGGACATCTAAAAAGAGGAGAATAAAACACTCTTACCAGGAACCAGGTTCACAGGCAGGAAGAGAAGGACAAAACTCACTTCAAAGGTGGGGTGCATTTTCCCAGGTGGAAAACCCCAATATTCATCTGGTTTGGTTTATCAACTTGAAAGCCAAAAGCAGGCTCTTAGGTTGAAAGGAAACTTCAAGTTCTAGAAGCTTCTCTGTGCACCTCTCTAATTGTTCATGACTGTCCTTTCTCTGGGCTCACAGGGAGAATAGGAAAAAGGTACTAGAGAAGAGTGACACATCCTCTTGTGTAGCCTATGGGACTCTGATGAATGACCATCCCACAAGCTTGTACTAGATGGAACATCTAATTGTGTCACTATGGTCATTTTAGCATAAAAACTGCAACTCTCCAATACTTCCATCAAACTAAGTTATAGAATCATTGAGTTTGATAAGACCTTGGGCAACCTATTCAAGAATTATTCAAAGATCATCAATATTCTATAAATCAAGACATTTATTTTGAATTCAAGTTTAATTTTAGAATAAAAACTGAACTGAAGGGGCTTAAGAGATGGCTCAGCAGTTAAAGAGCACTGGCTGCTCTTGCAGAGGCCCTGTTCCCAACACCTCAATGGGCACTGTACAAACATGGTACACTTATGTACATGCAGGCAAAGCACAGGTATACATGTGTGTGTGTCTAAGTCAACACTTCTCAGGTAGAGTTCTTTTTAGGTGGAGAAGTACTCTAGGTCATTTTCATTTATCACACTCTATTTATCTTACCATGGAAACTACTATCAATGACATTCCTTAGAAAAGTTAGGAAAAGGTTCTTCCCTTCCCTCTTCTATTGTTATTAAGATATCAGAAGAGAATAAATGGCTAACGACAGACAATGCAGAGCTCATCATTCATTACTCTATACAGCACTATCGCACAAACAGTCAATACGAGGATGACAAAGTTCTTGTACACACAATTGCAATTCCAGGAAAGGAAGTCTAATAAGCCACATGGCAAGGGGCTCTTCCCGACTTATTACCTTCCAGGGGCTTGACAATTTGTAATTTTTCTGGCATAAAGCCTCGAAGGCAACTGGTGCTGCTGAGGTCCGTGATCTCTGACTGGTCAGTGCAGAGAGAAGCAAGGCTCTCCGTGGGAGTGTCACAACTACTAACTCCTCCTTTCTGGTTGGCCAGAATCTGGATCTTTCGTTCCCATTCTTCGGCGAAGAACTGCTTCTCACTTAAGTAGTTCTGTCTCCGCAGGTTAAGGCGATGCAATGCTGCAGCCAAATCACTGTCTCCAGCGGGTCCTGGGAGGCTCATGGCCAGAGAGCTCCTATGAGAATCATACTCAATGATTAGACTGTAAGGCTGTGAGCATAGTCTAGACCTTTGCATTCCACAATGGCAAATATTCGAGTGAATATCCAAGAAAATAAAATGAAGTATTTTGTTAGTATTTTATTTTATTCTCTATTAAATGAAATACAGAAATATTAACAAAATCATCAATACTACATGCCATTTTTATAGGTCATCCATCTCAAATTACTTCCAGAGAGGAAAAAACTGTATTTTGTAGCTATGTTGTGTTTGCTAACTTTTCTATTTCATTTAATTTATGCAACTACAGATGTGTTCACTTTTGTGTTTGGGTGAGGTAGTCACAAAAGGAAATATACTGTATTTCACTGAATCTGTCATTGATTGCAAGAAGTACCATTGTTTTGTGTACTATGAAGGAAGAGAAAATGCTATCCATCAGGCTATTATTTGCCATTAGTCACAAAATGTAATTACTTAAAAAATATGAAAGTGTGATCATGGTGTGGTAGCACATGCCAGTAATTTCAGGAGGCTGAGGCAGGAGGAGCATGAGTTGTTGCCAGCCTCTGCTACATAGAAAGATCAAGGCAGCCTGGGTACATATCGAAACTGTCTCAACAAACAAACCACCTTCCTCCCCCACCAAAAGAAACCTAAAACAAACAAAAAAAAGGTGGAAAAAAATTTGTTTTGGTACACAAATTTCTGCACAAATGTGCAGAACACCTAAAGGAAAATCAGAATTATGTAGTATTGCATTTTCAGAGCTCTCTGATGCACTTTTTTCACTTTCTGACACTTTACAGCTCATATAAAAGGAGTGATTATAGTTGCCCTTAGCCCTGTAAATGAATGCACATAGACCTCTCTTAACCCAACTGTGTGAGGATGTAGGTATCACCACTGCATGACAACTGCCAGAAGCAGAACCGCCATGGGCACTGTGGCATCATGCTGGGATGTGAGTATGTGAATTTGCTATGCTAGCACCACAAGAAGTGCAGAACCATGGCCATGACCTGTGTTTCTCACCCTGGAACTTCTGCCATGTCGCTCCTCTGGTTCAGGAGTGTTTTGTCCTCTGTTTGCTGTACACCAGATTCAAAGGGCTTTGCTGTCATGATGACGCTTGAGCGGTTGGAACCTGGGATGGGTAGCAGGGTTGGGACTGTGACAGAGCGGACCCGTGTGTCATTGGCAACTTTGACAGTATCAAATACCCGTTTCTGTTGGGCCCTGTCAAAAGGGAAGAATTCATTACTGTCACTGCCAGCCACTAGAGTACTTCAGAAGAGTTGTGTATGTACAGAATTAGAAATAAAGCCACCCTGAACTAGTCACCAAAGTCTGGGAGAAACTGGAAACACACTTTAAGAGAACTGTCTAGTGAAAGAAGGCAATCTGAACAGGAAGCAGATTTACTACTGAACCTCACAATACTTACCATTTGGATTGTGGTTTTGTCTTCTCTCTCCCCCTGAGTACTGAGGGAGCAAACGCAGGATCTCACCCTGCTAAGCAAGTGCTCCACCACTGAAGCACTACACTCTTGGCCCTGTTCCTTTTCAATTTCCAGTCCAGTGGTTCAATAATAACACTTGTGATGTGTACTTACTTTTGTTTAAAGACAGATTCTTCATCCAAACTTAGCTTTTTACGCATGGTCCCTTCAATCTCAGCTGCCAAAGATTCCTAAGAAAAAAAGTTTGCTATTCATAATTATCTTTAAATTAACTAAAAGTCTCTATAAACCTGTATTTTTTGTTATAAGAAAATGAAATGTGGGGCTGGTGAGATGGCCCAGTGTGTAAGAGCACTGACTGCTCTTGCAAAGGACTCAGGTTAGGGTTCCAGCACCCTCACATGGAGGCTAACAACCATCTGGCAACTCTAGTTCCAGGGGATCCAACACCCTCTTCTGGCCTCTGCAGGCACTCCATGACATGAGTATACTTACATACAAAACACTCACAGACATAAAATAAAAATATATAAATCTTTTAAAGGCAGCAATGGACAAAAGCAACATGATAAAGAGACAATATTACATGTGTAGAGACTCAAAAGTATGATGGGTTACAGATCAAGGGGAATAGGTGAATCTGTAAAACATTTTCTTCTTTGCAATTTCTAACCTATCAATCTCTGTGAATTCAAGGCCAGCCTGGTCTACATAGTGAGTTCCAGGCTAGCTGGGACTACAGGGAGACCCTGTCTCAAAAAGACCAACAAAACAAAACAAAACTAATTAAAAAACCAAAATGCTGGGGATGTAACTCAGTGGTACAGCACTTGCATAATATGTATGAGGCCCTGAGTTCAATCTCCTACATTGCTAAATAACTTAAAACAAACAAACAAGGGCTGTATGAGATGGCTCAGTGGGTATAAAGGCATTGGCTGCCAAGTCTGCTGACCCAAGTTTGATCCTTGGAAGCCAAAGAATGGAAAGAGAAAATTGATTTCTACATATAAGTACACACACACACACACACACACACACACACACACACACTAAGTAAATGGAAAAAAAATCTTGGTAAGTGGCACATGGTGGGCCTAAGAAAGAATAATCCAACTGAAGTAGTGCTATGGAACACAGATCAAAATCCAATTTCCTTAGAGTTCATCTAGCACATTGCAGTAAGTTTAGAAGGTCATCTGTTAAAATAAGTAAGAGTGCTAAAGATGTAGATATACAAATTAAGGCCCAATCTTGAACCCAGAGACAACAGCAAACCATGTTCTCTTTTTTAAGATATTTTATGCCATCATAAGCCAAATCACACTCAGGAAAATAGAATCTAAACTTTTTTTTCCTTCTTTCCTTCTGTGGTGGTTTGAATGAAAATGTCTCCCACAGGCTCCAAGTATTGGGACATTTTGTCCCCAGATGGTGGCGCTGTTTTGGGAGGTTTCAGAAGGTGTGGCTATCCTGGAGGAAGCATGTCACTGGGGGTAGGCTTAGAGAATTCTTTAAGCCTTGCCAATCTCCAGTTGCTCTCTTGTTTCCTGTGACTGCTGGAAGATGTGGCACTTAGCTTCCACTCCTCCTCCAGCCACCTCGGCCGCAGTGATAGACTGTAATTCCCCTGGAACTGTAAGCTCAAATAAACTCTTCCTTTTATAAATTGCTTTGGTTAGTGTTTCTATCATAGCAACAGAAAAGTGACTAATATTCCCTCCCTCCCTCCCTCCCTCCCTCCCTCCCCTTTCTTTAAATACATGGCATCGCTCCCTGTTTCTTACCCCAGTAAAAGCTCCATAAGACTGAGAGAAGTAGAGATGAGCAGCAGGGCCAGATCTGCTACGAAGTTCTTTTATTTCTTCTTGGGATTCATGCAACATGCCCAGACACTCCATGTTTCTGTCTTGTAACTCATGCAGCTAAAAGAAAGTAGTGCACTTTATCATCTTCAAGACAACACTTGTTCATGGTTTTTGAAAAGGTATTAATTTTATTCAGGAGGCTAGCAGACTGTATGAACATCATTTCAACAATACAAAGATTCTGAAACAAACTAAGCAAAGAGTATATTTATTTCAAGTTACCAGGATTTGAGATATTTTGGCCAAAACTATATAAAAACATGACTTCCCCAAACCTAACATGTGTCAGAGACAACCAGAACTGTTAACTCAACATTTAATGCCTCATATCCAAAAACACTGCAGAATAATACAGTAGCTATGGTCAAGTTGAGTTAGTACAATAGCAGTTTTTTCCTCTTGGGCATCACTCTGAAGTCTTTAAGTGACAAGTTCAAGAGTCTAGAAATGGATATATTTGATGTTCTCCCCCTCTTGTCTGAAAACCTTTTATAGCAGATACACACGTTTGGGAAAAGAGGATATAAAGTTCAGAATCTATTTTAACTGAAAACTTTCCTCAAGTCTAGCATGTTGTAGCAGTCTTTAGAATCACAGGGTTAGTCATGGTCATTTAAAAAGTGAATTCTAAACTGGGGTAGAGGGGCACACACCTGCCATCTCGGACTCAGAAGGTGAAGGCAGGATAATCTCAAGTTTGAGAATAGCCTGTGCTACACATGGTTTTTCAGGTCAGCCCTAGACACATAGTAGGGCCTTGTCTCAAAATTTAAGAGATAATAAAATAAGAATGTACATTCTAGGCCCTCACTTGACCAACTGAATTAGAAACTTTGGGTGGTACCTTGAAATCTCCATTTAAAATCTGCTATTCTAGTGAATCTTCTGAATGCTAAACTATCATTGAGTTATATCTAGAATATTTAGGTAGACAGAAAGAGATTTTTATTATTTCTCCTGACACATTTGGACAAACACTTTCCATTAGAAATGATCATGTTTCAAAAACTGCTGGGTTAGTGAACATATGCTGTTAAACATATCCAATGCTGAATTGAAGACCTAGATACAAACCTACATAGCTACAGTCACCTGATTTTTAATAAAGATGCCAACAATACATACTGATGGAAGAAAAACAGCCTCTTCAACAAATGATGCTGGGAAAATAGATATCTAGATACAGAACACTGAAACCAGACCTTTATCTCTAACGCTGCACAAAAATCTACTCCAAATAGATCAAAGATCCTAATGTAAGACCTGAAATTCTGAAACTGTTCAAGTGAAAAGTAGAGAAAACACTTCAAGGTACAGGCACAGGCATGGACTTCCTGAATAGGATTCCAGTCACTCAGGACACTGACAGGTTGGACCTCATGTACTTAGAAAGCTTCCTCACAGCAAAGGAAATAACTGAATGAGGAGACAGCATAGAGAAAAGAAAAAAATCTCACAGAGGACTAATATCTAGAACATAGAAAGAACTAAAAAAAAAAAATCCCTAGACAACAAGGAATCAAACAACCTAATCATTAAAAGGGCTAATAAAAGATTTAGCAAAAATGGCCAACAAACAAAAAATATTCAATGTCCCCAGCAAACAGAGAGATGTAAACTTAAACTACATTGAGATTCTATCTCACCCCAGTCAGGATGGCAGTCATTAAGGAAACAAAGAACAAATGCTGATATGAATGCAGACAAAAGTGAACCCTTATACACTGCTGATGGGAATGTACACTAGTCCAGTCACTATGGATGGAAATCAGAATGGAGGTTTCACAAAATACTAAAACTAAATCTATCATATGACCCAGCTCTACCACACCTAAGTATTTACCTAAAGGACTCCAAGTCAGTCTATCACAGAAATCCTTGCAAATCAATGCTTATTACAGCACTACTCATAATAGCTAAATTATGGAATTAATCTAAGTGCCCAAAAATAAAGGAATGGATTAGAAAATTTGGTATATACACACAATGGAAATTTTTTCAGCCAATAAAGAACAAATTTATGTTGTTTACAGAAAATGGCAGCAACTGGAGATGATATTAAGTGAAGTAAGCCATTTCAGAAGACAAATATGGATTTTTCTCTCATTTGTGGTTCCTGATGGTGTACAGATATGTAAAATCATGTGTGACATGTAAGTGAAAATGTCTAGGGATGAAGGGGACTCATGGGGAGAAGGCAGAGGTACAAGTGGGAAAATGCCAATGTAAAATATACACCTGTACAGGACACATTTAAAAAAAAGTATATATTTTTATTTTATGCATATGAGTGTTATGCCTCCATGTGTGTAAGTGCACCTGTGTTGTGCAGTGCTGTGGAGGACAGAAATGGGTGTGGATCCCCTGGAACCAAAGTTACAGATGGTTGTTAGCTGCCATGTGGGTGCTGAGATTTGAACCTGGGTCTTCTGCAAGAACAGCCAGTGCTCTTAACCACTGAGCCATCTCTACAACCCCAACAGAACTCTTTTGAGAAGTTCTATATTTTTATTTAAAAAAACATTTTATTCATTATTATTTTTTTGTGTGAGTGTATTGCCTGCATGTATGTAGGTGCACCCATGTTATGCAATGCCTGAGGAGGTCAAAAGAGGGTGTCTGATTCCCCTGGAATTGGTATTATCTGGGCACTGGGACTTGAGCCTGGGTCCTTTGTAGGATCAGCCAGTGCTCTTAACTGTTGAGCCAGTTAAGAGTCCTGAATTTTTAAAGAATCTTATAAAAGTCAAAAGTTTTTCTCTATTGATCAAGAGGGATGCTGCCATTATTATCTTTAGAGACAGGACTTGTAAAATGCTTTATTTCTTAGATCTCATAATTTCATCTCCATTTTTTTCTGTTATTGTTTGCTGTTATTTTACAAATCTGCTAATTCCCCTTTCATGATTCTTGCAAAGATGAAAGAAACTCTTCCCTCTCCACCCTACCCTCTGCCTCTGAATTACAGAAGATAAAGGAAGATTTCACTACCTCCATTGTCAGCTGTCGCTGGGCATCTTTGGAAGCTTGTAGGTGAAGTCTTAGTTCTTCCTTCTCAATAACATGCTGACAACATATTAAAAGAGACATGTAAAACATTCCCATATACAGCGTAATTATTGCCTTTCTTTTAAAGACACACTGAGTTCCTCTCTGGAGAAAAGTCTTAGGGCCTATAAAAGTGAATCTTTCAGAAGCCAATTAAGAGTAATAATATAAGCAGAAAACAATATCCACACAATGTTCAGAGGGTAATGAACATGAATTAGACAAAGACACCAAAACTTTCTTAGGAAAATTTGGCCTATTCACAAAGAAAAAGTGACTTGAAAGTAATTATTAACGACATTTTAGCAAAATAAGAACATTAGAACAGCGAACATTAGAACAGCAATCAGAACACAAAACAAGGCATTTAAAAGGGGCAGAGACCAGGTTTACTTTCCTCAGTGCACTGGCACCTAGCAGAGTACAGTACATCAGACCAGTACTTAACAAATATTGTATGAACCTACTTCTTTAAGCTTGTGCTGAAGGTCTACAATCTGAGATAACAAGGAAGAGATCTCTTCTTGGTATCGAAGCAGTTCATCACTCTTTCCTGACAATTCTTCAGTCATTCTAGACATCTGAGCATTTGTTTCACCTTGGAAGCAAAGTAAAAATTTAAAAATCAATATAAAAGTAGGACAAGATAGCAATGATAGCTTGTAGGTCAAGTTCTGATTCATAGTAAGCACTGGGTGACTATGAATAGATTAATCTTGAACATAAATTAGAAAAATAAAGATTTCCCTAAGATAACCTAATACTGGGAATTGAATAGGAAACAAGGATGCTAATGAAATATGAGATAGAGCTAGACAGAGATAGAGGTAGAAAAAGAGAGACAGAGGGGGACTCACAAAGACAAACTTGGTAACAATTTTCTTCAAACTTCTTTGTAAAAATATATTTGTGTCAATCTTTATGAAGGACAAAAGAATAAAATGAGAGCTAGGTGCAAATGTTAAGAGGTAATTTTACATATGTCATTAAGAACTCTTCAGGGACATAAAGTTCCACAAGCAATAAAAATCAATCTTAAATCTAACAAAGGAACACTTTCATAATGGAACAGTCACATCTATGACAGAAGCAGATGAAGCCAGTGAGATGTTTCTGTGGGAGAGAGGCTTTCAGGGATATCTAGCAAAGTAAGCAGGGCCTTACTCACTCTAGACTCACTCTTACAGCACACAAACACACACAAAACAGATCCTTTAGAATCTGATTTGGGAAATCTGTATTATAGAAGGCAAATTGGACATCCAGACATAAGCAGAAAAACTATTTTTCACTGTCACATAAAACGTTTAAAACTGACAGAAAGCCTCCTGCATTTCAGAGATGGCAGGAAGGGGAGGAAGGGGGCAGGAGATGGGACCCGAGTCAGTTCTTTATTAGAGTGTAGAAGGCAGATAATAGAGATGGAGAAGATTCAATCATATTCCTCTGGTTCTCTACTACTCTGTTGCTCTAAGTATCCCATTTTGAGACCCACAGATAAATTCAATTGATGTGACATTATCATACTGTCTCTTTCATCATAAAAGGCTATACATTTATAGAATAATTCAGTATCTTCTAGTGAAACCAATCTTTTTTTCTTGATTTGATAAGAGCTAACATTACTTAAAATCAAAATATATTCCTAACTTTGGCATATCACCTCTTCTCATTGACTACTTCTTCAGCAACAAAATGAGAGCTTCATTTTCTTTTTCTCTAAAATGCCATAGCTTATTTGTAAACATTCAGGTCTTTCCTTAATGATTATGGCAATTTGAAGCAGATAACTATCTTAAAAATAGCCATAGTGCCTTAAAACTTTTGGGGGTGGGTTATTTATTTCTATTTTATGTGTATGAATATTTTGCCTGGATGTATGTAAGTGCACTGCAGGCATGCAATGCCTGTGGAGGCAAGAAGAGGGCGCTGGGTCCCCTGGAACAGGAGTTAAGGACAGTTGTTAGCTGCCATATGGGTGCTGGTCCTCTTCAAGAGCAGCCAGCGCTCTTAACCGCTGAGCCTCCTCTCTAGTCCCTAAATATGGTATCTTAATTAGGGTTGTGGGCCCAATGTGATATTCTGATTTTCAGGAACAGTTATGGTTTGACCCTCAAAGCTTGATTTCTGGAGTGGTGGTGCTGAAGTGGCGGAAGCTCTTTCAGGTGGAGCATAGTGGAAGGTATTGGGTCACTGGGCATTGCCTTTGAAAGAATTAATGCTGGTCTCCCCAAGTGGGCCAGTTCTCTAGACAGCAAGTTGTGGTAAGCAAGCCTATTCCATGCATTTGGCCCCTTATGCACATACTCAGCTCCTCTTCTGTTTCTCTATTGTGTTGTAAATCATCCAGGGGACCTCACCAGGATGCCAGCACTATACTGTTTGGACCCTCTATCCACAGAATTGTGAGCCAAATAAACTGTTTTATTTTATAAGTTACTCAGTTGCCCCATTGGCAAAGCTGATGCCAGAAAAAAAGTTACCCAGTTGCAGATACTTTTAGTGGCACAAAAACAGACTAAGACAATAATCATTTAAAATTGTTTCTATTGAAACACTGATCTAATTTCTGAGTTGGAGATATCCTACCAAACTACTCAAAAGCAGAACTGTTACTTACGAAGTTCTTTAACACAGTCATTGACAAGCTGCTGTTCCTTCTCTTCATAGGTAAAAGTTTCTGTCTTTATATGACAAGCCTTCAAGAAAAAAAAAAATCAACGTGATAATACCGTCTAATGACTCTGAAGTAAAAACTACAAAAAGCTTTGCCATTAAAGATTAAAGTTCATCACTTACAATGGAAACAAAACAAAACATAACTAGAAAACTCAACAACCTGTCAAACTTTATCTGTCATAATAAATGCCACTTGCTTAAGTAGGATTTCCTTGATTCACTCCACTTTTAAGCTCATAGAAATTTGTAGTTTTGACATAACTAATTTCACAGTTGAGTTTCCGTGTAACCCCACAAGCTGTACATGCTATCCTGTGGCTATTCTGTCAGTCAATGTGCTGTTATCATTTCTCAGCAGGCCTTGGTAACAATGGAAGGCACATATGTAATTGGAATGTTAAGCTATATTTCATCTCAGTATTACCTAGACTTGACCATACAGTGTTAAAGAAAATGAGGAGGAAGCTGAATGTACCTTGGATCGCAGAGCCATATTCTCTTCTTCCAGTTCCTTGAGTTTTTCCTGCAGCATGTCCAGTTGCAGCAAACCTTGAGACAAGCTGAAGGACTCATTGAAGCGAAGAGGTGTTGAACAGTTGGAATCTGTTTCACTCTCCTCAGAAGCAATGGAGACAATTCGAAGCAATTCGTCCTTCTTGGACAGCTCATGCTGAAGCTGATTAACCTATATATAAAGTACCAATGAAAACATTTTGCATTGCTTACATGCAATAGAGCTTCTAATTCATGGAACAACTGCTTTTTTTTTTGGTCAGGAAACAGATTTTATTAATTAATATCTTGACAAAAATAAATAATATTTCAATGTTGGGATCATTAGTAATTTCTTCAAAAAATGAGTCTGAGTCAGTATATTTATATAATATAGCCACACTAAGTACTGCATTGAAGACATGACCCTAAGAATATAGTTATTTTATTCTTTTTAAAAATATTTTTTATTATTTTTATGTGTATGCATGTATTGCCTGCATGTAGGTAAGTACACTAGTGTCGTGCAATACCCGTGGAGGTCAGAAGAGGGGGAACAACTGCTTTTTGACCTTAAAAATTTCCCACAAAATCAGCTGCTGAATTTGAATGTCTACAGTAACAAGTGCTAAAAAGAGAGTAACAAACTCTAGGTATTTCCTAAACTATCCTCAACAAATATGGCTTTTTCTAGAGTAGGAATGACAAAAGCCAAGCTTCATACTCTAAAGAATTTTATTTATTATTTATTTCATGTGTATGAGTATATTGCCTGTATGTAAGTGAACCTATATCGTGCAATGCCTGCGGAGGTCAGAAGAGGGTGTCAGAGCCTCTAAAACTGGAGATATGAACACTTGTTAGCTACCATGTGGGTGCTGGGAACCAAACCTGGGTCCTCTGCAAGAGCAGCCATTGCTTCTTAACTGCTGAGCCAACTCTCCAGCCCCCAATTTTTATATTTTATAAAATAGTAATATAAGAAGAACAATTTGGGGCTGGAGAGATGGCTCAATGGTTAAGAACACTGGTTGTTCTTGCAGAAGACCTGGGTTTGAATCCCAGCACCCACATGGCAGGCCAACAACTGTCCGTAACTCCAGTCCCAAGGGATCTGACAGCCTCTTCTGACCTCCGCAGGCATTGCATGACACGGGTGCACTTACCTACATGCAGGCAGTACACACATATACATTAAAAAAAAAAAAAAGATAATGATATACTTGCAATATGAAACCAAACAAAATGGAAGAATCTTCACAGTTTTACAGCAGAACCCACTTCAAACACCCAATGGCTTGAGCTCAATGGCTTGAACTTTTTCTCTGTCCCCAGTAATGGGGACTGAATAGGGGCTTCTCTAGGTCTCTGTCTTCCTTGAATTCACAGAGATCCACAGACCTCTGCCTCCCAAGTGCTGGGATTAAAGGCATATGCCACCACTCCCAGCTTTAAAAAAATTTTTGAGATAGGGTCTCTCAATGATTTGTCCAGGCAGGCCTTGAACTTGCAATCCTCCTGACTCAGCCTCCAAAGTAGCTGGGATTACAGGCCTGTGCCACCAGGCCTGGCAATGACTTGTGTTTTTAACCTAAAATTATGCATATCTTCCCAGCAGGGATGAATGTATTTCTAGAAAATAAACATTTTCAACACAACGGACCAAATATATTCATAAAATAGAAACAGTATCAGATAGAAAACAAGCTATAGAAAATTTGAAATTTAACCATTCAATATGACAATAAATTAGTTCTTATTACAAACATTTATTGATAATGGAATAAATATATCAAAAATGTTTTTTCTTTGCCTTTTGGTTTCTAAGATGTCTGTATATATACAAATATATTTGAAAATTTTTTTCTTTGACTTTTGGTTTCTGAGTAAGATGCATTTGTACATACATCTATATTAATACATATTAATATATATTTAAACATTTAAGCTGGGTGTGGTAGCACATGCCTTTAATCCAAGCACTCAGGAGGCAGAGGCCAGCCTGGCCTACATATTGAGTTCCAGGTCATCTGGGCCTACAGGGAGACCCTATCTCAAAAAACCCACCAAACAATATAGCCACACACAAATGGTAAAAAAATTAGACTCTCAGTAGGGTTCCAAAGATACAGACATTGAATATAGGCTTTAAGGTGACTAAGAGTCACACAAGCGCTCTTCTGTATATAACCTTTCATTGCTCTACTGCTTAGTTCAGTGGCTGCCAACAAAGTTAATAGATACTGGTGCTATTTACCTATTATCGACATTTTAGGGATATCCAAGAAAATAAGTTTCTCCACTACATAAAAATTATTTCCCACTGTGATACTAGGTCAAAGGCTTACTTGATCAAAGGCTTGTCCCAATTGTTCCTCCAGAGCTTCATTCTGCTCAGACAAGACATGGTTCCGCTTTAAGAGAGCTTGTCCAATTCGAGCAGCTAGCTCCAGATCCCGATCTCTCTGTTAAAACACCAAATATACCTTTTAAATATAAACAAAATTCGATAGCATATTAGACTTTCTACAGTGAATTTCCCTAAAGTTAAAAGCAATCTCCTATAAAGCATGGATATTAATTTGATTGCCCAGATACCACAAATAAACACTGGGCCAGGCACAGAGGTAGTGTTTAATAAATATTGGTCAAATGGATGACTACAATAGTTCTAAATGCAACTTTAAAAAAAGTGACTTTTTCCTAGGAGAGGGAAGTCAATTAGCATTATATCCACTCACCCACCCACCCACCAAAAACTTCAAAACAACGAGCTTCAGGAACCATTCTACTTTGGGATGTCAGCTGGTATGTCACTTGTTCAGCTGTAACAACCTTACACAAAACAATCCAGAGTACAGATTGGTCATCATGTTTTACCTGATAGTCAATCCAGATACATTCCAAATGCTCCTCAAGTTTTAGATTTTCATACTGAAGAAAGAGAAGAGCTATTCATACCTCTGCCAGGAGATGTGTGACCATGTCAATGTCATTGTAGGTTCTGGTCATCTGCTCCACCCTGTCTGTGCCTAGAACTAAGACAATTAACTTTTTATAGACTTTAAACACATCAGAAAATTTAAAATACTCATAAAAATGAAAAAATACTAATGCCCTACCCCTAAATTCTTATCGAACTTATTCAGGAGAGTAAAAATATATGTGAAAACAGAGAAAGGATAATTATGTATATGAGGTTCAAGATATGTATCAACCATTATAAACAAAATGCACAGTTAATACAATAAATTAAGGTATCAAGTGATCACAAGTCACTCATGTTTTGACTATTTCCTTTGCCCTGGGAAGATAAGAAGTTTGGTGTACTCTAACTGGGAGCTGGGAGGAAGGATTAAGTTACCTATTTCTTTTAAATGTGCTAAAGTTACTGAGGAGTTATGCTGCTATAAAGGAATTTAATAAGAATTGTCTTGTGATTGACTGTAGATAATCTCTACCACGTAACCTAATGTAAAAAAGGAACAGGACTTATAGAGATTTTTGTAAATCTGCTTTGAATAATAAAAAAAATCCCTTTAATCTGGCAGTTTCTTGTTATGTAGCTTTCAGCTCTACACATAGACTCATGTTGAGATAGTGTATGTGTAATGTGTACAGGAGAGACCTAACTGTGAGGTGTTGGTCAGGATAGTCCAAGAGACTCCCCCAAATACACAGGCTATAGCCATAGTCCTTGACTGCCTCCTAGAACTTACAGGCAAGACCCCATTGTTGAAGACAGGACATACTTCTGATACAGGATTGGGAGCAATGAAACTAGAACTGACCTGGAAGCCACCTCCCCTGAAGGTTAGCTCTCATAGATTTGCAGAGTACTACACAAACTGCTAAGGGAGAGCATCAATTGATGGTCCAACCCCAGCTTTAATGCCTAATAACCACATTAATGACCAGCACAACAAACAACACTGGTGTAGTAGTGGCACTTTTACCTTAGGGGTAATCAACAGCTACTTAATTGGACTTACAGCCTCTGTGTGAGGAAACTCTTGAGTTAGGTACTGTAAACCTAGTTGGAGAGGTCATAAATCTTAGAGAAAACTCCAAGGCTGTCACATCCCTAGGCAAATGTAATTTCTTACTATGTGTAAAATATGGATCCTTATATTTACAGACAAGTATCTGAGTCACTATTCACCAAAGAAGCTTCTTTCATAACAGATGGAGATTATTACAGAGTTCCACAACTGGTCATACACAAAGATTGTCTGTGAATTGCCCAAGCCTAAGAGGCACATCTACTGTGTAACCTCTATACCCAAGGCTCGTGGAGCATAGAACAAGAGGTAAAAAAGATACTAATGCAGTTCTCAAGCCTCATCAATGAAGCTCCCTCATGCAACAGAGGGCCAGGAACACAAAAGATCGTAAATGGCCAAAGCATAGAGAATAAGAGTCTGCAGAGTGTGGGTCCTTAGACAGGACTCCTGTATTAAACTCCACCCACCCAGAGCTTAGGGACCATTGTGGAAGAGGGGGTAGAAAGATTGGAAGAGACAAAGAGGAGGTACATGACAATATGAAAATCAGGAGAGGTTCCTGGAACCTTGCTCGTATGAACCTACAGCAATGGCATCAGCATGCACAAGACCCATGCAAACTCAAGGAGACAGAAACCCAGCACAGAACTGTGGAAATGGACAGCAGGCCCCAATCTTAGTCAAAGAATTATTAGCAGCTGATTACTGCTGGGTGAGGAAGAGCTGATCTTCTTTTTTTAAAAAAATATTTTATTTATTATTTTTGTTTTATGTGTATGTGTATTGCCTGCATGTGTGTAAGTGCACCCGTGTCATGCAATGCCTGTGGGTGTCAGAAGAGGGCATCGAATCCCCTGGAACTGGAGTTACGGACAGCTGTTAGCTGCCATGTTGGTGCTACGATTCGAATCCGGGTCTTCTGCAAGAACATTCAGTGTTCTCAACTGCTGAGATATCTCTCCAGCCCAAGAGCTGATCTTCTTAAAGGGAGGGGTTCTAGATAGGCTAACAGGATCCCAGTGGATGAATCTGCACCAAGGGATGTCTGGGGACACTAACTTGACATGATAGGCCTTAACACAAATGACAGAATATATGAATTCCAGTTGTTGGGGGGTGGCTATAGGACAGTGCCAGTGGAGAAGGGGGTAAAAAGATGATTAAGATGTTCTGTATGAAATACACAAAATTTCAATTAAAAATTTACAAAAATAGAGGAAAAAATTCCTTTAAGCTTAATTGAAAATCCTTTACTTAATAAAATAACCATCACAACAAAATCTCTAAAACACATTGTATGTCATATTATTACTTGCATAATTCAAGCCCAGTATTTCTGTGCTTCATACATTCAGGAATCATCAATGTGGAAAGGAAAGGGATAGTTCAGTATAGCGTGCTTGCCTGGCATGTGTAAGGTTCTGGGTTCAGTCCCCAGCATTGTCCAAAAACAAAAAAAGGGGAGGTGGGCAAATATGACTCAGATGATTCCACACTCACACTAATGATGCCTAAAAAAGAGGGATGGGGCTTGAGAGATGGCTTAGTGGTTAAGAACACTGGTTGTTCTTACAGAAGACCTGGGTTTGAATCCCAGCACCCATATGGCAGCTAAGAACTGTCCGTAACTCCAGTTCCAGGGGATCCGACAGCCTCTTCTGTCCTCTGCAGGCATTGCACGACACAGGTGCACTTACCTGCACACAGGCAATACACACATACACATAAAATAAAAATAATAAATAAAATATTTAAAAAAGAGGGATCATTGATTTTTAAGCATATTATATTAAATGCTATCTAGCACATGGATTTGTGTTTGACCAAGGCTGACTTTGTTTGCTTGAACTGTGAAAAGATAAGAGGCTCTGAAGGAAAAAAGTTGAATTCATGTGTTTTTAGTAACTTTCAACAAACCCTCTTATCCTCCCCGCTCCATCTTTTTTTTTAGCTGAAGATCAAACTTAGGGTCTCATGCTTTTGAGGTAAGCTTTGTCTTTTTTGAGATTCAAATTTCATATTTATATCATGGAGGTGATAAGATGATCTCACACCACTGTTAAAAGATTTCAAATGTAAGAATCATATTGAATAAGAAAGTATTCAGTAGACAATATCACATGACTGTTTATAGCTACTTCTTATGTATACATACATGAAATGGTTTGATTTTTACATTCCCTGTAAAGATTCACAGAAGTTATCAGTAGCTATTATGATTTAAATCATTTACAGGGAAACCATTGGCTTCCCTTTTATCTAAGCCTTTGATGTTCCTTCCTAGCACAACTGCCTAAAACAAACCTGGGAATAACCTACAGCTTAATTATTAATAAAGGCCTTATTCCTCATTAAAAGTAAGACAAAATGCTGGGTTAGGAAATAGTTGGAACAAGGTTTAAAGTGAAAAATACAAATATTAAAAAAAATCCAGAGGTAAACGTTTTACTCAAAAAGAATTTATAAGTAGAGAAACTATCTCCATCATTTAACCATAGTGATAAAGAAAGCAGGCATTTGGGTCTAAGAAACAGACACAATTTAAGTGAGTAGCATAGCAAGGACAAAGATGAGAAGATTAAGGAGGATCCTAAGGTGAGAGGGTCACGTATACTTCTGGTCTCAGTAACACATTTGGGAGAAAATCAAACCATTATATGTGATCTAAACTAATTATACAAAACCAGCAGTGGCTGCAAAACAAAGTGTAATCCAGAGCAGTAGTTCTCAGGTCTGGATTTTGACTCAATCAATAAGGAGACGCACTAAGACTCTGGCAGATTTCTAGGCATTCCTTGGTGCCAAGGATGAAAATTACCAATCTGGGCCTAGTAAATACCCAATTTGTTAGGGAAACCAAGAAACTTAGGTAAAATCAGTTTTTACATAGATAATTTAAAAGATACATGACAGTTTATATTACATGGCAGATCAGAGTTGAAGATGAAGTAGAAGATTCAGCTTCCAAAAAACTATGTTAAGGATGTATTAAGCAACTATAAACTGTAAGTCACGATGAAAGGGAAAGAAAAACAGAGCACTCAAACAATTAGGAAATGTTCAGAATAAAATAGGTTTTTGAGGAAATATAAATGCTTATCATTTGTTTTACTACATAAATTTAAAGCTGAAACTTAAGAAGTTATCTAGCTTAAGGAATTTTTAAAATATTATTTATTTAATATAGCTTAAGGAATTTTTATTAAAAGAAATTATCTGTTGTGTCCAAGACCACAAAGCCAGCTATTAATGTCAAAGTTGAGATTTTAATATATAAGTAAACTTAAAAACACTTAATTATAAGAAATAGGTAAAACTATAACTCTCTGGTTCTTACGATTAATGTGAAATAGTGTATATACTACCAAGCCCCAAAGACTGGGCCAATTAAAAGAAAGCATCTATCAGGGTGAATGGGGTGGCACACACTTGCAACCCCAGCACTTGGGACAGGATAGAAGAGGTTAAAGGCCAGCTTGGGTGGCATAGCAAAACACTGTCTCAAGCAAAACAAAATACATATTTATGCATCAGGGAGCTGGTGAACATTTGTGTGTGTGTATGTGTGTGCACGTGCGTGCATGTATGTGTGGGTTCATACATGTACATGTGTGTGCAGGTGCACATGGAGGCCAATGGGCAATCTTGGCTCATATGTCATCTGTTGGGTAGATGTGTCCTAGGAAGCTAGAACTGAACTCACAGAGACTCAGAGGGGGCAGGTCTAAAGCTGAGAGATATTGAGAAACGCTGAGTGCACTGGGTAAAAGGGGAAGGGTAGTCACCATTTTGGAAACAGAGTGGGTGAACGGGGGAGGGGGGGCACGCGGACCAAGCATCGTTGGTGGCAGGGATCTCAAAGCTTAGTCAAAATATAGAAAATGGACAGTGAGAGTTTATGCCTTTGTAAGCTACCCTTTCCTGGATGTTATAAACCATGCTAAAACCCAAGTAGACTGTATTATGTCAGTTTTGTCATTCCGCATTAGGACTGCGAAACCTAGGAGTCCCAGAGAGCATGAGGGTCTCTCAGG